CTTGCATTACATGCACTTGAGTTCTGAATGGAAAGTCTGAAAAATGGAACAGAGAAAACCTCTTGTATATTATACAAGCGAAAGGCACAAGAACTGAGCCTATCCTTACCATCTTTAGTTATGAATGGCAGGTAAGCAATGGGTGGATAATGTGTTTCCTGAAGTAAAGTATGCCTAGACAGAATTTTCTATTCTTTTGTGATTTATTTATTTGGTTTTCTATGCTCTTAAGCTTCTGACGAACCTGGCATCGTTACAGCGACACCGACAAACTCAAAAGAAAATACTGTCCCGCCAGTAGCTGAGGGCAAAAGTGATGCTATGCATGCCAATTCAAAAGAAAATACTGTCCTGCAATCAGCTAAGTGCAAAAGGGATGCCACGCCAGTAAAATCGAAAAAACCTGATGGCCCGCAATTAGCCGAACAAGAAAGTGATGTCGCGTCGTTACTTAAAAGAGAAATTGGTCTCACACCGTCAGCTGCAGTTAATAATGATGTCATGCCAATAGCTGCAATAGAAAGAATTATCACCCAGTCAGCTTCTGGAGAAAGTAAGATCACGCCACCAGCTGAGGACCAAAGTGATATTATGCCATCAGCTGAGGACGAAAGTAACATCACCCCATCAGCTGAGGACGATAGTGATATCACGCCATCACTTGAAAGAGAGAGGTCTGTTATATCATCAGCTGCAGAAGAAAATAATATCATGTCATCATCTCACAAAAAAACTGTTTTGATGCTATCAGCTTCAAACGAAGTTGATTTAGAGCCATTGGCTGCTAAAGCGAGGGACTTCAAGCCGTCCAATGCTGAAGGAACTGTGGAATCTGACACATTCAGAGGTAAGAAAATTGATTAAAACAGTTTTCTTTTCTTACATTTAGGTGGGAGCAAGGGATACTCTTTGTTTTTAACTATTGTTACCTGAAATGCTTAAGGGTGGTTTTCAATGGCTACAGAGTCGGAGGCGTGGTCAGAGTCATGAAAGCGCCCCCGACCGAGTGAAAACTGAAAACTAGAGTCGTAGGCGGAGTTATAAGCTTGACAGAATCTGAGTCGGAAGAGTCAGGACAGTATAATTTTCTAAAGACTTCGCTTATGATCCGGTGAAAATTAGATTATCGGAGTCACAAGCAGGAATGGAAAAACCAACCAATCTCTTTGTCAGATCTTAGGTATTCCCAGTACAGTCTTTCGCTTACAGCTCCGACAATTCAGTTTTCATGGATCTTAAGCGACGGATTCGTAAGCGACAGCAATAAATTCTTCCGATTTCGTCGCTTGATTTTCACTTGATCGTTTCACTCTGCGATTATGGTTACAACTCCGACGCCGTCGCAACTGAAAACCGGCGTTGACAGGGTGCGGTTTGAATACGCTCAAGTCAACCCTCTCTCCTCAAATCCTTCGGCTCACCGGTCTCTTTGTAACTGGGAGTAATCCCAGTATCTTTGTTAAGTAGTTAACATACCATTCTCTTTTTTTTTTATCTTTTTTCTAAACTTAACCTGTAAAGGACCTCGAAGAGAAAGTCGAGGAACTTCAAAGGGGAGCGGCGTTGCGTTCTAATTTGACTGAGATAATTGCGATCATGTTTGTGAATTAATTGCAGAATTGGTCCCCGACCTCACTTGGTAGTTTCTCTCTGTACTTACGAGTTACCAGTCGTACAGTGGTTTATGACGATGACGTTGATGAGTTCCATTGAGACTTTTTTAGCCGTTAATGGGGAGACTGTGGTTCATATATGATTTCAGTGCTGCAAAATGGATATTCTAATTTGACTAAGAAAATTGCAATCACGTTTGTAAATTAAATGGGTTTTTGTTGGTCCTATCCTCTAATTTCTTAAAAAAAAGGGTTTGATACATGAAAATAGAGAAAGAGTTCAGAATAACTCTAAAAAAGCAACATTCGAGCCACCTCTTTCCTCTGTTATGATATGAATGACCAATCGTAGTTAAAAACAAAAGTACGCCACCGCGTTGCTGCGACGTAGAATGGGTTGTCCACATTTAAACAAGTAGTGATGTTTTACCATCGGAAAACACAAGTTGAATTGCTTGGCTCGCTTAATGGCCTTTTTGTAACCAGGACTAATCCCGGTATCTTTGGTCTAACGTAAGTGCGAGTAAACTCCGTAAATAGTTAACATGCTATTATTATTTTTATCTTTTTTCTAAACGTAGAAGACTTAGAGAAAATCAAAGAGAAAATAGAGGAAATTAGGAAGTTGGCGTTGTCCATCGGTAAGATATTAAGTTTCTTACCTACAACCATATGACTCCCGGCCATGTTCTGCAAATTCCAAATCCTTGCGGTTATGCATTTATTACGGCCATTTTTGTAAACAAATAGACTGCATATTTTCTTGAATCGGTGACAATTTCCGGTGTGGCTCGTTTAAGGAATTAAAAAAACCTCTGTTAGGGCGGGGGGAGGGGTGGTCGAGGGAAGGAGGGGACTGCCAAAAAGGTGAACCTCTGTATACTGGAAATCCTTACAACAATTTTTAATCAAATGTTTAAGGAAGTCCTGTATTGCTTTGCCTTTGCTTCACTTCGATCAATGATTGCATCAGAAAACTCGCACTTACCTCTCAACCTGGTGCATGTAGAATTGGTCCCGACCTCACTTGGTTTTCTCTCTGTACTTTCGAGTGAACAGTTGTACAGTGTTTTATGTCGGTGGCGGTGACGACTTCTATTTGAGACCTTTTTTAGCCGTTAATGGGTAGACTGTGGTTCATATATGATTTCAGTGCTGCAAAATGTATATTCTAATTTGACTAAGGAAATTTCAATCACGTTTGTGAATGAAATGGGTTTTTTGTTGGTCCTCTCTTCTAATTTCTTATAAAGTGTGATGATAAAAAAGGTTTAATCGATGAAAATGGAGGAAGAGTGTAGAATGTCTAAGGCCCTGTTTACAAGCAGGTAGGTTAACCCTAGTGGTAGGGTTACCCTTGTAGGAGGATTACCCTAACGCTCCCATATTTCTTCTTTTTTTCAACGACGTGTTTACAAGGCAGCTAGGGTTACCCTAGCACTAGGGTAACCATAGCTGAGCGCTAGGGTTACCCTAGCGCTAAGATAACCCTAGTTGCCTTGAAAACGCTCTGCTGGGGATAACTCGCCTACCCGGGACAACAACAAGGGTTACCCTACCCGCATGCTAGGGTAGCCCTAGCACAAGGGTTACCCTCCTTGCCTGATAAAGCAACATATGTGATGATACCAAAGATATAATCGATGAAAATGGAGGAAGAGTGTAGAATATGTCTAAGAAAGCAATATTCGAGGCACCTCTTTCTTTTATTTTGAAATGAACGACCAATCGTAATGAAAAAAACTAGTACGCCACTGCGTTTTTGCAACGTAAAGTGGATTTTGCACATTTAAACAAGTGGTCATGTTTTACCATTGGAAAACATAAATTGACTTCTTCAGCTGACTTATTGGCCTCTTTCTAAGTACCAGTTATCGTGGTATCTTTGGTCTGAAGTAAGTGTGAGTAAACTCCGTAAATAGTTAACATGCTATTATTATTTTTATATTTTTTCTAAACGTACAATACGTAGAGAAACTCAAAGAGGAAAAGGAGGAACTTAAAGGTAAGTTTGCGTTGCCCATCGGTAAGATATTTAGTTTCTTACCTACAACTATAGGACTCCCGACTATCCTCTGCAAATTCCAAATCCTTGCGGTTATGTATTTATTATGGCCATTTTTGTAAACAAATACACTCCATATTTCCTTGAATCGGTGGGTAGATCATGCGCTTCTGGAAGTGAAATAAACTTAGATAGAAATGTCCTAATATTTTCTTTTTGTTTTTTATACATTTAAGCTTATCACAAGGCTGGCCCCGTTACTGTTACAGTGAAGTCCACATCTGGGATACTTCTTGGAAATATTCCGTTCGAGTATATAGACCACGAAAACAATCTTCTGAAACAAATGGTGTGTGACCCCAAGTCGCGACGGAAATTGTTTTTGGTAATGGCTGAAAGAGAGCAACAGCCCAGTTTACATCCCCCTCACACGGACCCAACAACAGGTGTGTTATTGTGTCATTTATGATCTTTTGGAGTGCAAAGAACACTATTATTCCATGTTGAATTGTACTTACAGACCACTGTAGTTTCCGCTGAGGGTCGAAATGAAAACTTTTGGTAATCAGGTGGGAGAAACTCTTAAATATGCTTTTGACCAAGGCCTTCACAGGGCTGTGGTCTAGCAGCGCCCCGTGGCCCCTGGCGCCTTACTTTTGCCCTTGGGCGACTCGGGAATCTTAATTTTTTTCATGAAAAGCATATGCTGAGCACCCTGGATTTCACAGTTTCAGAGGACTGGGCTCCCTTCAATTTTTCTTAGAGCACAGCCTTGCTTCAGAAAAGTCCTGAAACAGGATTTATGTGGGCCATGGAGGTTCCGAAGGATGAGCGTTTTATGGCCTGAACTAGCTGTAGCAAAATAAATACCCTAATCATTTATCAAAACATGATCTGTCACCAATCTTGGTTTTGTTTAGTCATGCTAATCGTAATTTGTAACCAAACAGTTATAATCGTCACCATTCCCTCCTTTTTTGTAGGGTCTTCTCAAGCATCCCATGTATTAGCTAACTTAGTGTATGCAGCAGCAAAATTTGATGCTCCTGAGCTTATAAGAACGATTTTCGACTCCTCAAGCGGAGGCGTCGTCTTTCATGCTTACAAGGATAGTGCAAAATTGCCTGAGTCTGTGGCGAGGGACCATGGTAAAGATGACACTGCAACTTACCTCGAAGAAGTAACCACTAGGTAAAAGTTTAGTAAAACAAAACAAAAACTTTCAGCCTATGTTCAAAGCTATTTGAATACATTATACCTGTTATCCTCTCGTCCAAGAATTGGACATGCTTCACTCCTTCGTTATATGAAGAATAAAAGTCAACATTCCCAACCCTAGGACCTCTTTTCCCCGTAGAGCTCTTGCATAGTTCACTGAAAAACGGTTGTTAATACCGAGCTCACTCCGACAAAAACTGCAAGGTCCACATTTACAAAGGAATTAGATCAAAGATTTCAACTCCTAAGTGTATATTTATTCTGTTCTTGTGCACTCGTCGTCGAGGACCTCCAAACTACGTTCCACTGCACATGACGTAGGCGCCACTTTCATGGATGTAAGCTCACTACAATTTGTACTTAATTAAATTAACATTTTTTTTTCTCCTGGAAAGATTTTATGAAGAGATCAAGTCTGGTAAGGAATTTAACCAGACCGTGGATTGGTTAGAACTTATAAAAGCTGCTGATGAAGCTCAAGCCAGTAAGTAGTCATTAAGTGGCCGTTATATCTAAACTCTCAGGCATAATTTGTTGTTACTGAACAGACGCACGACAATCAATGTTTTTCACGAGGCAATTTAGGAAATACCGAAGAATATTAGATAAGAGTCATATTTTCGACCACAAGCTTCTAGTTGATACCTAAAATCCGTAAAGCAATCCAAAGATGTAGAATGGTGCAAAAAACGTATGAGGTTCATATTCTTTTTGGACATCTTTTTTTAATGACCACATTTACCTATATAGCTATCTCATCAGATCACGATACCGAAGAAAGAGACAGAAATCACTTGGAAAGTAATCTCGTCAAAGAAAGTGGATATTCGGCTGATTTCGAATCATCGCCTAGTTTGTCATCTGACTCCGAAAGCTCTGATTCCGAACATCATACTCTAACCTCGTCCTATGAAGGTATTGATTGTAAGCTCCTTTGTAAGAATTGTTTCCCTATAGAGAATAAGATGCTTTCCTAAATTTCCAGACGTTTATCTGACTTCTCTTCCTTCAGCAAAATTTGGGAATCTAACTGGCAATCACGAATGCGTCACTGGCGTTTGATGAGTGTCGTGCGTTAATGACCTCCATCTCCCTCCTCCAATATCTCAATTTCCCAACGTGGGAACATTGAAAATTGTTCTACGAAAAACAAATGTAATCTATTCAATAGAACTTAGCCAGTTAGAACGTCGGGAAACTGTTTCCAGCCACCCTAGATATAATCTGAGTTTCTATTAGGGGACTAAGAGAAAGTGAGTAGGTAAATATAGATACGTATCTCTTTTCACATTTCATCTCTATGATTGTAACTTTTAGTGGTGGAGATAATTGGGTTTTTTTAGTTGAAGACATTAGTAAAGTAATGTAGCCCTTGGTGATTAATAAAATTGACAATCCACTCTGGGCAACCATATGATGATGGAAGTATTATGGGTTGTATTTCCATAATAAATTAGGAGACTTTTATTATTTTGTTGATTTTTCCCTGCAGTCAAAACGAGATTAGCGAAGAATAGTACTGTTATAACAGCTCATGTAAAACGCGATGTCATTCCGCCAGTTAAAGAAGAAAGTAGTGTCTTTCCATCAACTGCTAGTGAAAGTGGTATATCACCATCAGCTGAAATGGAAAGTGGTGTTACCCCATCAGATACCAAAGAAAAAGACATTACGCCATAAGCTGCTACAAAGAGAAATCTTACACCATCGGGTGAAAGAGAAATTAATTTCACACTATCAGCTATGAATGGAAATAATATGAAGACATCAAATGCATGTGATAGTGGAGTCAAGCTATCAAATTCTAAGGAAAGTAACGCAACGCAATCAGCCGATGAAGAAAGCGATGTCACGCTCTTAAGTGCTGAGGGAAGTGCTGGTAGGTCATCACCTGAAGAAGAATGTGGTGGCACGCTTCCACCTGAAAGTGAAAGCGATGTCCTGCCATCAGCTGAGAGAGAAAACGATGCTACGCCAGCAACCTTAAAA